CAATATCAGTAAGAACAATAATAATAACAACAGCATCAATAATAATAAAAATAATAATAATAACAATAATTCGTTGATCAATATCTGACGGTGACCAATGCATCGGCAGAGAAGAGAGTATTTCTCAAGAGAAATAGATAGAAGCTTAAAGATGACTTGTGCTGTGGCCAATTGGACCAATTCTGACTGAGTAAAGTTTGGCCCATGATGAACATTGAAAAGCTTCCCTTTCACTTGTGGATGTGCCAACTTGCGGGCTTCTCTCGATAAGAAATCTAAGTAAAGGGTCAGTTTTAAGTATAGGTTCCGTCTTAAGTAAAGGTTTAGTGTTAAATAAAGGGTCAAACTAACCGCACTGTAAGCTTATCGTGAGATATGAGTTGTGGCTTCCTTCGCCAGTCCGGTCTTTCCTCAAAAGTTAATCCCTACTTGACCCACGCAAGGGTCAGTGTGGCCGGCACCATGGTCTTGCTGAAAACCTTATCGTGGTGCCAGAGACCTGTATGTTAGTGGACTCCGAGCCAAAAGGCTCTATCTGTGCTCTGTAATTGTAATGTACAGTCGAAACTGTATAAGACGGCCACCCTTTGTTGAGGAGAAAAGTGGCTGTCTTAAATCGTCTTACCCGGTGTCATTATAAAGTAGAAATGTGCAAGGGGAGGAAATGGGAAGTGGCTGTTCGTACGGGGGATTATTTTATAACAGGTGACCGTTACAGCAGATTCAACTGTACGGTTAAACTGGAGCCTTACCACGGCTAGGTGTAACAACAGTCTATCTGTGGCTGAATGACAAGGACCACATACGTAGACCTACCCAAATATGTCGTTCTTAAATTAACACATGTACCAGGTAACAAAAGAATTCGTACACACATACATATACACCCGTATGTGCATATTACACACACAATGCACCCACTACACATACACACAAATACACACATTAACACAAACACATACACACACATAAAGACATGCACACACACACACACATAAACACATGCACAAATACACACAAACACACACATGCACACACATGCACACACACAAACACACATACCCTCACAAACATACACTACACATATCACAAACACACTTATAATATAGAAACAACAACAACAGCAACAACACGAGAATAATCTTCCTTAATACGGAAATGTATCATAATGTATGTCCTATATGACAAAAACCTTTCTGTTTCAAAATTTGTATTTAATTGGTTAATTGATACTTTACTTTACTTATTCATTCATTCATTCATTCATTCATTCATTCATTCATTCATTCATTCATTCATTCAATCATTCATTCATTCATTCATTCATTCATTCATTCATTCATTGGTCCATTCACAGATACGGAGTTGAATGTCGAAAAAGTAAGAAATTTTTAGTTTTGCAAAACCAGATGCTGTATTTAATTTAGAAACAAATGTACGTCTCACACTTGTGATTTCTTTGGGTTCGTAAAACATATTTTTAAAGGCAGAGACAGCCTTTTTAAAATTTTTTTTTTTTTTTTTTTTTTGGGGGGGGGGCATTAGGGCAAACGTCGGTCATCCCCTAATAACAACAAGAATACATTTATGTAGGTAAAATCAAATGTAGCCTTTGTTCATACTAAGTCTTACACTCCAGATTCAGAGAAATTGGAGTGAAACTCAAATAGGCTGACGTAATAATAATTGTATGGGCTTAACAACCTTTTTCAACACTGTAAAATTATTTGAGAGGAGGAGTCACCCTTTTTCTCGTCCGTCTCCGATAGGCCTGATCTCAGTAGGTGAAAAAAAAATTGAAACTCCTCCATACAGTCCCAGTTCAAACGATCTGAACCGTAGTCCTCGCCACTTACACCCGGAATTATGCAAACGAACAGAGACAGACAGACAAACAGACAGACAGACAAACAGACAGACAGACAGACAAACAAAAAGTCAAAGAGACAGACATAGAGGCAGACTGGCAGATAGATAGAACCAAAAGACAAAGAAAGAAAGAAAGAGACAGAGAGAGAGAGAGAGAGAAAGAGAGAGAGAGGGGAGGGGCAGACAGACCGACAGACAGACAGACAGACAGACAGACAGACAGACAAACAGACAGACAGACAAGACAGACAGACAGACAGACAGACATATAATCAGACTGACAGTCCAACAAACCGTAAGCGTTGTCCTCTGGAGAACCTTCTGTGTGAGGAAGGAGATCCGTGGAGACTGGGCAAATGGTCAAGAAAAGACGACACGTGATTTTTGAGGGACTTGAAGGAATTGCTACGAGTGTGCCTGTCGTTGATACTCCTGACTTTGTTCGGATGATGATGGTCGTAATACGGATGGTGGTGATGGCGCAGTCGACCATGGCCATTGTAGCAGTCGTCATTGTCGTCGCAGTCGTCATCATCATCATTATCATTATCATCATCATGGTCGTTGTTGTTCTGGCTGGAGCGGCTGGATGTAGACCGACAAGACGAAGAACGATGATGATGATGACGATGATTTTGGTGGTCATAAGCGTTTGCCAACCGCTGACGTCGTCGTTTTATAGACCAGCGTGACGTCTGCGCCAGGACAGATGCGTCCGCGGCACTGTGAGCGAGAGAAGAGGCAATCTCCTCCTCCCCGTCTTCCTCTTCAAAAAGAGGTTTCAGACGGCGGGACTTTGTGCTCTGGGTGCGCCGGAAACTGAAACGGAGGGGGCCGCCTTGCCATCCCGCCGTCGAGTGACCACCGTGTCCTTGATCCTGATCAACACCTTTCCTATAACCTTGACACAGATCAAAACCTTCAAAAATATTTCCTGGATCGTAGTCTTCAGCCTGACTTTGATCTTGACTTTGACCGTGCTCAGCTTCGAAGGTTGTAGGGAACTCCCCGTCATCGTTGGAATCTGTTCCCGGGTCGGAGGTTACTGGTTTATTTCTGACATCTTTTTCCTCACCCGATGTGGTCATCGCTCTGCCCCCGGCGCAAGATTCACTTCCCGGAGCGCCCAATGCGCCGCTGCCCCTCATGCTACTTGACGTTCTCTCAGAATTCAAAACAACTCGCTGCTTATTACAATCCTTCCCTGCAGCAATCACCACCCCATCACAACCACTACCGTCGGCATTTCCAACCGCTTCTGAATTCTTCTTTTTCTTCCTTTTGATACTGGACCGAAATATTTCTTTGAACCTCGAAAATCTCGAAGAAGAATGATGTTGATCTTCTTGCGACAGCTCACCAGCCCCCTCTTGTGCGTACGTGTCGGAGGAGTCCGAATGACTCCGTGTACGACTGTTCTGAAGACGCGTTCGGTCTCTTCTTACATTGTTACCGGACCGAAGAAGAGTTTGGGCAGGAACGGCACCGTCCGACTCCCCAGCCACTCCGAGGAAAAAACGAACGTGAAGCTCTCCCGCCGGGGCGGATGATTTTCTGGGAAGTTCTTGTGGGACATTGTAGGAGTCCCCGGCAAGCTTGGAGTCGCTGCGGGAATGAATGAGATACAACATTTATTTAAGTGAGTAATTTTCTTCGGGAAAACGATTCATGTGTCAATCTCAAAATTGTGGGAACTCTTGTCCACTTACATAGTTTAATCTCGCAAATTTTCGCACCAAACTACTGGCTCGTCTTGAGTGAGGTGTTATAGTAAAAGTGCAATTGAACTATAAACTTTGATTGATAGACACAAAAGACGAACAAGTAGATGTAAAACGACAAACAAACACATAGTCACACACACTCACACACACACACACACACACACACACACACACACACACACACACACACACTGTTTATCCTGCTTTCTTTACCAAAACTAAACGACTGTTATCCAGTCGATATGTTTCTCTCCATTCAAACCAAACAAACTCAAAAGCAGACTTAACCTGCAGACCCGAGATCGATTTACTTGTGGGGAGAGCTTTTATCGAATATCTCGGTCTTTCTACGGGGACATTGTATCCCTTTCGGCCCGGGTTGGTCCTCGCAGGCGGGGTCGAAACAGGCCTCCTGAATTATCTAAATTGTGCCAATGGGGGCGTAAATGTATCTACATTAAAAGAACGTAGAAACATTTGATTGAAGTCATGTGCATTACAGCAAACGGGAGTTACATTGAGTTTATGAAACACAGGGGCTAAAACATACACATTTTGAAAAACGCATTAACCCCCAACTGCCCGTATGTATAGTATGAATTGTTGACATGATAATTATATCACTCAACACTATTTTTATGAAGAGAAAATAAATAAAACATTTGTAGTCAATTAATGCTTTGATATGTTTGGGATCCCATTCAAAAACAATACAAAGACAAAACAACAACATCAACATCAACATTAAAAGTCTTACAGGAATTAAGACTTAAAGATTCAAATATACACTAAGGGACACAGGGGGGTTAAAGGTGGAGGTTACATTCTGAAAATCCAACATTTTAAACTGAGTTGAAAGTGCCTCAAAAGCTAAGCAAATACAAGCTGAAAACACCAGCGTCTGTGGTGCAGCGGTTAAACGCTTCGCTGCTGCATGCAGAAGACCCGAGTTCTGTTCCCGAGTGGGAAGGAAAATTTTATCAAGTATCTTGGTCTCTTTGCTGGGACATTGTATCCCTCTCAGCCAGGGTTGGCATTGACAGGCAAAGTCGTATCCCCGTCTGCTAAATTATCTAAATGGTTTCGATGGGGGCATGGAAAAAACTACAGCAAACAAAAAAAAATAAGCCGGAAACAACTCACCTGCAGATACGACGAACAGCAGTGGAGTTTGCTGGACCAGTTTGGGTTGCTGTGGAAGGGTTTAAGTTGCTCTGTACTCTCCTCATGCCCTGGACACTGCCGCTGTCTTGACCAGCACATCTGTCTTGTCTGGACATGAACTCGGCAAAGAGTTTTTCCGTCTTTGTACTCTTTGACGTGTCAGTCTTTTTATCCCCAGTTTTATTCGTCATATCATCAATTAAGTTATCCACCATTTCATCTGCTAACTTATCTGCACTTTCATCAGCTATATTATCTGCTAACTTATCTGCACTTTCATCAGCTAAATTATCCGCCATTTCGTCTGCTAACTTATCTGCACTTTCATCAGCTAAATTATCCGCCATTTCATCTGCTAACTTATTAGCATTTTCATCAGCTAATTTATCCGCCATTTCATCTGCTAACTTATCTGCTATTTCTTTCGCAAGCTTATCAACCTTTTCATCCGCATTTTCACCAACTAGCTCATCCACCATTTCATACAATAGTTTCTCCGCCATTTCATCTTCTAGCTTGTCTGACTTTTCATCTGCTGGCTCATTCAGCATTTCACCCTTTAGCTCATTCGCCATATTATTCGGAATTACACCCACTTTTTCGGCCACAATTTTATCCTCCATTCCGTTCGCCATTGGGTTTGTCTTTTCATTGGATACTTTTTTCACCGTTTCCATCGCCACTTCAACCTCAACGTTATCCACCTTTTCGTTTGAAAGATCCTCATTGTTGAGAGTCACTTTTACACCAGAAGCGCTATGGAAGTCATTGAGACAGGGCCGAGCAGCCTCGGGGTTTTGCTTTGCCAATGTTGGGGTGGCTTCAGAAGATGGCCAATTGGGCAGAACTACTTGATCAACGAAACCATCGTTCTTGACTTGGCTGCTGATGTTAGCATTTTTGCTATCGTTGTTATCGTTGCTATCCTTACTTGTACAAATGTGGACATCCCCCTGATGTGAACAAATACCAACTTCTACTTGTTTGCCATTATCATCGCTAGACATACTCATTTCAACACCACTTTTGCTGATGCTGCTCGAAGAGCTATTGTCAGTGTTGTCGTCTTTGCTATGACTGCATATACACATTCCGACATCATCTTTGTCGATTTTGTTATTTCTATCTACACTGCTGTTATCATCCCTACACGCACACGACATATCAAAATCAACTTTGTTGAAACTGCTTGGACGACTGCCGTTATCGTTGTCGTTGCTAAGACTATGCGTAGACACCCCAGCATAATGTTTGTCAGTATCGTCAGAGTTGATACTGTTGCCATCAGTGCTTTCCACGCTCGACGGTGAAATAGTTTCAGACTGTGTCATGTCATCCATTTTTAAATAGAAACAGGCGCGGACTGGCTAGTTTATCACGATGCGCATGCTGCACATATTGGGGGATTAATTTAACCAATTTAAAAAACAACAACCTTCTCCCCTCAGTTCAAACAAATGTCGATCTCTTGATTGGACCCAACTAGTTGTCCGCAGGATTCACATCAGTACATCACATGCTAGAAGCACAAACTATCTTGTCAAACCGCACTGTTTTAATGAGTGCGTGTCTGTATAATTTGTAAAACACAATG